GTGGACGGAGGGCAGCTGCCCGCCTGCCTGCCCCCTTCTGCACTCTCCTACCTTGCGGGAGACTAAACCTCTCTCTCTTTTCTTTCCGCCTCCCAAACTGACGCCGCTGCCCCGCAGTCTCGGACGCCTGCCCTGGTCTTCGAGCATGTCAACAACACAGACTTCAAGGTGAGCGACCGCTGCCGTTGCAGACGCCTCCTGAATCCGATGATGGCGTGGAGCGTCTGGGAGAGCTCTTCTGAGGCTCTGCTGCAGAGCAGGCATCGTGCCCCGGCTACCAGAGGGATTCCCGACCCGCTCTGACGCTGCCTCGCGGTGGGGAGGGAACGGTCCTCTTATTTCAGAGGCACGCGGTGCCACCGAGATGGCTGGCGTCGCTGTCTCAGAGGGGCCGGGGGGTTTGGGGCTGCGGCCCGCTGCTCTTTGCTACCTTTTACAGTTAAGGGAAGAGCCGGGGGTGCAGGGCCAGTGTTAGGGATTGTCCCGGCGGATCCCCAGGTCTCTCCTCTCGGCCGCGCTGCTCCAGCAGTTGGCCGTCGTGGGCTTGCATTCGCGATCTGGTGTTGGCCAATCTGCCGGCTGAAACGTTGGATTAGTTGAGCCTCGTGTCCCTGCAGCCTGGGCTGAGTGGAAGGAGGTGAGGAGGGTTGTCGAGACGGGCTGTAGGAGTTAGTAAACCGGCGGCCGCTTCGCCTGTGGCTGCTCAGTTCTGCTTTCAGTGAGTAATTAACGCGCTGTAAGTCCTGATGTGCCCCTTTCCCCACCCGATTCTTGTCCCCAGGGCTTGTCTTTGGGCTGTCTCGGGGGAGTTGCTCTCCGGGTTTTGCGAGGGCGGCGAGGCGTGCTCTCTCATCCTCATCCCCTGCCCTCAGGATGGGAAACTGAATCCTTCCCGGTGCTGGGTCTCAGTGGGGTCTCGGAGCTCCCTGGTCCCCTCCTGGGTGGAAGCAGGGAGGGCCACACGCGTGCGCCGAAGGTTGCTCAGCCGGACTGAGGGTCTGGCTCCTCCCTCCCTGTGGTGTGCTGGTGGTTCCCGGGTGGGGAAATTCGGGGTACAAAATGGGTACGAAGCTGCCCCGGCGCTGCCTGGGCAAGTCGGTGCCTCTGGGCCCGAGTTGCGGCTCCACGAGTGTCTGTGCTGCGCCTGCGCTGGTGCCGCCACGAGGAGCCCGGGTCCTGCACCCCGGAGCGGCGGATAAACACGCTGTGTTTTGTTAACCTGCTTCTTGTCTTCGCTCTTCCAGCAACTGTACCAGACGCTCTCCGATTTTGACATACGGTTCTACATGTATGAAATCCTAAAGGTAAGCTCCCGGGCACGGCTGGGAAATCCACAGTCCCTAAGAAGATCCTCACTCGAGCAGACCCCTGCCGCTCGGTCTCCCCCGGGGAGTCCGCCTGTAGAAGCGGGAGGTAGGGAGCGGAGTTCGTTTTGGCTACTAAGCCCTGCTGGACCGTTGCCCGGCCGCCCACGTGGGACGGCTTCTTGGGCCACCGCGCGAGGGGGAGGCTCGGAGGCAGGTGGCTTGTGGAGTGTGCTGGCGGGCGGCTGAGAGCGCAAGGTCGCCGTGTCCTTGAGAAGCAGAAGCCGCCTTATTTATCTCCCCGGCAGCCTCTTGCAAGACTCCTGC